TTTGAGCTGAAGTCGGTTTCAAATCTTACAGTAGTTTTTTCTTTTTTCTGTTGTTTATGATGTGTGTTTTGTTTCCCCCAAGCAGGGTGGTCATCATTCGAATATAACATGTCTAAGACTCGCTTGCTGCTAAAACCGTCACGTGACGTCCCTCTCGAGATCTTCAGACATGGATGTTCAGACCTGGAGAGAAGCCTCATGGCTTCTCCCATAGAAACTCAATGTCATTCCAACCCCCCCAAAAAACAAACTGAACCCTCTACCATCCTCTACCTGATACCCAACCAGCCACCAACGTATCATACGTCCAAAACCCTTTCCAGTGATCTTCTCCAGGCTGCGCCAGGAAGTGCTCAACCCCTTGGCCAAAGGGATCGACTTGGAGATCTCGAAACCTGGCGATCGGTCCCGACGGTTCTCCCCGGTCTCCCCACGCACGCTTTCTCCCCGCATCTCCACCGCATCTCCTCCGCCGCAGGGGGCGGACCTCCCGGAACGCCGGTGGATCCACGTCGACGTTCGGAGGGACGGGGAAGAAGAAGCGACAGCGTGAAACCCCACCGAGCAACGACGAGGATCCCATGGTCCCATGGTGGTTCTGCTATGTTCTGCTGTTCTGCGTGGTGTGCTGAAGGGGGCAAGATGCCCTCTTCTGAAGGGCAGAAAACATGGAAGCAAGGGGAGTCACACCAGAACAACGTGACTTGTGCGCCCTACAAGTAGGTAGAGGCCTTTCTTCCACGTCCATGAAACACCGGGAGGTGGTCTTGTGGTCTCAAAGGAAACTTAGAGTACCCAATGAAACGTGGCTCAATGAAGTGTTCAGTTGCGGGATCAGGACTCTTCTGCGATGGAAAAACGGGTGCTGCACGATTTCGACTTATGATGTACGCTCTCAGGGGTTCCTAGATGGATTCGTTTCTGGCATTGAGAATGGGCGGCGTACTACAAGCCAACCAAAACGGAGGATGTCCACAAAATTCGGATTGCTTGCTCGCGCGCGCATCGGTCTGTCCTAGATCTCCCCAGTGTTAAACAATGGGTGAACACGAACGCGCACTCTCTCCAAATAAAATGGTTCCAAGTTAGAGGTCTGAGACCCTGTGTGCCACCCAGTCTTCACCCAGTCTTCGAGTCACAAGGGCCAGATCTGCCGCTTGCACCAGTCATACTGTAGGCCGCTTCGCCGCAATTGCTCGACGAAGAGCATGTCGGCGAACACCAAGGTAATGGCCTCACTGAGCATGCCTTGGGGCGGCGAGGGTAGCGAGGCACTGCCAGACTCCCTGGACAGCCATCATCTTAGGCAAGAAGGGGATAGGTTATGAGTAAAGATAGCACACAAAAGCAATCTTGACACGATTTTATTCGCAAATATCACTATACTATATAGCATTCTTAGGAAGTTAGATGCATCCTCGCAATTATGACAATCAGTTTCGAGAGCGATGATTGGAGGAGCCCATCAGGGCCCGCGTTTCAGGGTGTCTAATCGTAGCCCCTTACAGGTTCGGGATATCCATAAGCCACGCCCCGGTACATGTGTTTACTGTATGGAAATTGGGGGTGCCTTCCCTTCGGACCTCAAATTAGGCACGCCTCGAGAGCCTTTTCTTTCTGGAGCAGAAACATGAACACAAGAAACCTGGAAAACAACAAAAAAACACAATGCTTTGGGGTTGCTTAGGAATCTTAGGACATCCATGCCTCCTTCCGGGAAATGAATCAAATCCGTCTGGCCATGTCCGGCGATCCAAACTCCGCGCACGTCCAACAAGTCTCACATTCAGATTCCCGTAAATCATGACCCCTGCGTTAGATAGGGCCCTGGGGGGGGCGCCCCTGGCACATACCTGATTTTTGGAAATTAAATGAATGGTGTTTTCTTTACATATCCCCTAACTCATCGACACCTGACAAACCTCTTAATTAGTTTCCACTCCCCAGCTGGAAAGCCCCCCATCCACAGCCACGCCAACGTAATACGTGAGCAGCGCTCGAAAACCCGGGGCGAAAGTGGCCACCGCATGCACACCGAGCAGGAAAGCAGCCATCACGCTCAAAACCAGGCAACAAAACAATAATTCAGGGGGGTTGGCCTCTGGAGGAGGGGTCGACTGATTTAGGTGGGTAGCTTGATCCAAGGTACACGGGGAACGTGCAAATTAAGATGATTTATCATGGTTTATCCGAGTCAAAATTGTCGATAAATTGTTGGATAATGTTGGATAGAAAAACCTTTGATTGCGAACATTTCATTCGTGGGTAACCCCTCTCCAATTAATCTTTTAGTGGAGGGGTCATCTTAAATCTGTCCCATCCTCCCCTTGTTCTGTGGGCGCTTGGGTAGATCGCGTGGTCTTCGCGTGGTGTTTTGTGGCGTTCCCCTCGCACCCTCAAAGCAACCTCTCCAATGGTCTTCCGTGTGGTCTTCGCATCACCGGAGAGGCAGGTATTGGCCTCTCCCGGACGCGGACGCGGACGCGTTTGGGCAGTCGTAGACATCCACCCAGGTGCGGTAGATGATGTACAGCCGCCGCCCCAGGGGCGAATCGTGGCCTCTTCGGGAGTCGACAAAGGTTCATGTAAAACACATAGGTCGTGGCCCTGGTTTGGCTCATTTTGGCTGCTTGAGAACATGGCGAAACTCCCGCATTTTTGGATAAGTAACTATTTTAGGATATGTCGGCCATTTGGGAGCATCATTTCACGCAGTCAGACATTGGAGCTCCTGAAGTGTGCCTCATAAAATGATTAAGCTGAGGTTAAGTGGACATCAATTCATTTGTATATTCCGCACGTCTTTGGCACCCGTGGCTACATTCGCAGCCGCAACATTCTCGCCGTTGCAGGGCTTCCCGGCCTTCAACATCCAACCCCATCGAAGGATCGAACAGGTGGAGAACCTTTAACTTGAAACATGTGCATATCCCTATAGGGCTCCAACCACCTCCGTTTCGAAGGTGGTTGGGGTGGGTTTTTGGGGTCTAACCACCGAACCTGAGGATATGGGCCAGGAGCCCTAGGGTATATACGTGACATCGGCGGGCAGCTTGGTTGTGGCATGGGGATACTGAGTTGGCATTGAAATTCACGGCTTGGATGATCCTCCTCATTCCTTCAAAACACCACGAGGTGCCCGAAACAAGTCCTGAGAAACACCCTGAATCTCGAACCTCATGATGTATCCCTCATCCTCAATTACATACGCAAAAAAAATGAACCAAAGTAACCTGACAACCTGGACCCTCCTGTCCCTGTTTCTTGGTCAGAAGTGCCTGGTTTTGGCCTTCAGTCCGTTGATCGCTCCCATCCCTCGCGCCGATCCCACCCACGCCCCACTCCCCTCGTCCGTTGACGAACGACCCTCCGGTGGAAACACCTGTGAAGATCAGGTCGGGCAATAAGAAATGGGCCAGGTCGTGCGCTTGAAACGTGACCTGGCGTCGGCGTCATGGTCTGCTGTACTGTTGAGCACCACCGGAAGCCGCGGATGCGTTGGTTCTGCGACACGCCTTCCGCAAGATGCACACCGCCGAGCACGCCACGCACGGTGTCTTCGCTTCGGGAGGCCCGGACCAGAAATAGAAGCAAATGATGCCAGGCCGCCAGGCCGGATTGGTTGGGCACAAAAGTGAAGAACACCGAAAAATGCTGCAAAGTTGACCTCCCTGTCGGTGTTTTGATCGGATCGCTCGCATCCCGTTGAGACCTCCGGCCATCCGGCGTGGGGATACCGCATTCTTCACGGACGGCGGGCGGGCCAAACCGCCAGTCCCCGGGCCTCATGAATGGCATCATCCTTGGGGACCAAGGGGATCCCTGCGTTGAGGCCAGGCAACCAGTAGATGAACTCCCTCCTCCGGCAGAATTGGGACAAGAACGGTGAGGAACAGGAGAGTCGTGAAGAATCAAGGGTTAATCATACGTTAATCAAACTGGTGTATAGGGAGATTGCACAATTCCCAATTAGAATGGACCCCCCATCCAGGGATGTTTAGGGGATTGTGGTATCTACTCTGAAACCACTGTAAACTAAGTTCAAGTTAACTCACTTTCAGGAACCTGGTACATGAGCAGCTGCCTTTGACGGTCTTTGTCGATACATCAATGTAGAGGCAGCTTCCATTGACAAGTGTTCACAAATTCTGATTCGTCCCTCCATTGCAAGGTCCAAAATAATCCAACATACTGAAATTGAGCTATATATTATTGAGTTCATACTTTGCTTTATCTGGTGTTCTACAGGATCCAAGGTTGAAAAGTACACGAATTCACGTCCGCTGTGGCCGAGGCGTCTTTTCCTTGTTTGGCCACACCGTCTACTCTGCCGGTGCTCCTGGTGATCGCCGCCCGCAGGAAGAGGCCGCTGTTCAGCACGAAGGTGAAGACATTGGAGAGCCCCGAGCGCTTCACGGGCTCGGAGAACAGGTACTCGTTCCTGCCAGGTGCGTGGGGTTTTTTGGGGGTTTTTGGGGCTTGCCAGGCGTCACTGACAGGATGCCGAGACGTGAAATGGGAAAGAACGTACGGCTGTAATACTCTGCCGTCTGTGTTGCCGGGATCACCACCGCTGCGCATCGCTAGCGCAGGCGTCCCGCGTCACGTTCGGCCGCCTGGTAAAGAAGTCCAGGACCCGGGAGCCATCTCCAAACTCCACCGCGCGCGAGCAAGTCTCCAGGTGGTTGTGACGACACAGTCGCCGGTTCCGGTAATGCACGTGCTCCTGCGCTGCGCGGGTCGACGACGTCGTGGACGGGCCACGTGGGAGCGAGTGACCACCGAACCCATGACGCAACCATCGAGTCTTAGAGCATATAAGGTAAGCTGCTATATATGCTGCTAATATAGTTTCTGGAGGGGCCATTTCAAGAGGAATTGGGAAGACGTGTCTGAGAAAAATAGAAATAAACGTACTGGTTGCTGGAAACGGATTGCATGATGTTCGTTAGTGATGAGAAACCGCAGTCCTGCAAATACTGGGAGATCATCATGTCCCTGGGCGAGACTTTGAAACCCATGAGCTTCTTCTCGTGATAGGACAAACCACCTAGGCAGCCATTTACTGAATGCACAAATTCGGCACTAGACCAAGGATGTTGACAACATTTTGGAAGGGATTCATACATAGAGCCGCACAGTCTTTCGCAGGACATGTCATGACACGGAAATGATTCTACAAATGAAGGGAACATATTATGCAGTTCTCAGTTTCCCAGTCTTGCACTTCCCACCAAGAAGCACCTCCCTGTTAGGCTGTGCTGAGGCGCTGTAGAGATCCACCACCACATCGTCCCAGTTAAAAACACCAGCTCTATCTGTCAAGCCTCAGCAAAGTCAAGGCCATCTTCACACTTCCTGTTCGATGGCCAACTTCATGGGACCAAACTCTAGTTGAACGTGATCGAACCAAAGCGCGCCCCTGAAAACTCTGCTACTGTAGTTCGTGAACGAACAAAAGGTGAACCGAACACCTGCAAACGGTGCTTCACTGACACCGTCTGCAACGAAGGGAACGAACGATGTCTCCGACCCTTTCCGGACGCGGTGTCGACCACAAGGAGTCCGCCACCCCGAACGCCCACGAAAGCCACCACCCCAAAAACGCATGAACACCACAACATATTGTCAAAGACATACCGCGTTCATAAGCGCCGGGCACCAAGTATACTTACTACTAAACTTACTGGTCATGCTATTCGTTTACTACTTACCACTGACTACTTACTACTGACTAACTATAACTACTACTACTACTACTACTACTACTACTACTACTACTACTACTAC